ACTTTCGTGGATAGAGCACCTTAAACCTGAACACCTAAAATTCAAGCATATTCCTAACAAACATTAAGACAAAACAAATGAGCGAATAGTGCAGAAGAAGTGCTCACAAAAGATACACCAGTTGATATAAAACAATAGCGTTTCAGAGGAAGAATTTCAATTTGAAAATTGCCATGGCTTATCGGTCGGCCAATTCGAAAAGAAACAGGGCAAACCTTTTTCGGCAACCTAAGGTGGAATGTTCAGAAGAGGTCATGAGTAAGTAGAGGGTACATCATTGATTGATTTCTCCCAGGGAAAATAAAGTTAGAGCTAGTTGTCGGTTTGGTCAATTTTTGTCGGCTGGACCTCCCATTTCGCAGGCCTAAAATTTGAAAACCATGGAACATAGATGGAAGAGGAACATAGCATCTTGTAGAGCAGACAATTCTCTTTCGAATGGTATATGAACGATGTAAAAGCATGGGGATTTAGATGAAAATTTTTTTGAAAAAAAGCGACACTATTTATGAGACAACCTAATACATATCCTTCGTTATGGGCACCATTGTGTAGGTAGAGGCCTAGGCTGTGGAATACCAGAAGCTGGCCGAGGCAGCTCGTCAAGAGCCCTCGTACCGCGACAATATTCATTTCTTTCATGACATTGCGAATCCGAAATGAGCCCGGTAAGAAATTCTGGAGTTGCGGCAAGATTTCTTACCTCTCTTAGCGTAATCCCCTGGTCGAGCTATAAATGACTGCCACCTATCCTGGACCTTAAATCATCATCTTGATGACGAAATAATTAGACGATCAACTCCAACTCGAAAGTGAGGTCGCCTCCTTTCTCGACCCGCACTCCGCTGGGTTTTGGAAAGGAGCATCAAGAAATTTTCTGAGCGTTGAAGACAAGTGGTGGACACTCATGGTAGATATATGACCGGTCAGGAGTTGTAAACAAAAAAGATAAAATTAAAATCAAAAATTTGAAAAAGTGTTGCAGGACTTTCTTTCCAACCTAATACTTTCATCGTGAAGTCGAAACAGCCCTGTGCTGAGTTTCCATTGCAATCAGTATATTAAAACAAACTTTCTCACTAGCTTTAGTATACTTTAATGTTGTACTGTCCTGAGCTCTTATGCCTGGTATAAATGCGTGTACGGGAAATGCTAGGCCTTAGAAGTATTTTTTGAAAGGAATCAAAATTTTTCTAGTTTGCTGCAAAAATGCTTCCCTCTCAAGGAAAATTTCGGCGTCTTCTGCTTTTATCGAGCCTTCAATATTCGAATAAGCATAAGTATATTGAAATTTAGAGACATTGTTCGAAAACGTACGTGTCAAAAATTTCTGGATTTAGCACTTTTTGAGATTGGGGGCGCCGCTTTCCTTCATCGGATTCTTTCACTTTTTCAATTGCCATAGATTTGGCTGAAATGGTTGCACCTATTTGAGCGTTCACTCGAAGATTACTGGTATTTCAGTTTACGGAAATGAAGGATAAGCTACGGGTGGTGTCAGCACAAGTCCCAGAACTCGCATCGGAGTTACGAGCATTCCATGCTCGTACAAAAGACGTGTCGAATGAATTGGATATAGTGCAGTCAGCCTGCCAGAAAGAGAATCTCGTGTGGGAGCTGCTTTCGTTGCCCTCTGTGAGTTTACAAAAATTCGAATATCATCTTGGTACAGCGGTTGGTAATAAGTTTCCGGGTACCTACTTAGCCTTGTCAGATTGGAGATGTGCGAAATGAACTGGCGTCGTATAAATCTAGTAGCTCAGCTTCCAGCCTTTCCATACATCTAATAATAATAAGCTTTGAACCTATCCTATCCAAAGGACCATACTTACAAATTTCGATATGTCCATTGCTCCTATGAAACTTGCAAGTATTCGGTAAACATGTCGGTGGAACCGTGAAGAGGAATGCATCGATCGAATAAAGCTGTGTTATTGTAATTATGGGGCTTTCAGAAAGATACCTGTAAGGCCCTGTTCAGAGATGTCCGCTTGCGCGAAAAAACGCATAGGCGAAACAATGTGAAATATGTATCGACTGAACGAAGACGCACAGGCGAATCGTGAAGTGGGAGGATCGACGAAAATGAGTATCATACGCATCGACTTACGAACGCTTCGCTCACGCGATTTTCCGCCTGTGCGTTTCTCACAGTCGATACATATCAAACTCTTGACTGAAATTCGCCTGCTCCGGACGTTTCGCTTAGGCCCTGTTCAGAGATGTCCGCTTGCGCGAAAAAACGCATAGGCGAAACAATGTGAAATATGTATCGACTGAACGAAGACGCACAGGCGAATCGTGAAGTGGGAGGATCGACGAAAATGAGTATCATACGCATCGACTTACGAACGCTTTGCTCACGCGATTTTCCGCCTGTGCGTTTCTCACAGTCGATACATATTTCACATTGTTTCGCCTATGCGTTTTT